TCTGACGGTTGTATGAAGGAGGGACAACAGTGTACTTCTGCAAATCCTTTGACTACAGTTGAGAAGTTTTGCAGCGGGCCCTGGACCCACAGGCTGGGCCGTGGCTGAGGAAAGGGCAATTGATGTAATTCCATGAGTCCCTGGCAGCCAGGGTGATTGTAAGTCGGTCAGTTGCCTTCACTAGTACCAGGAAATAGTATCATGTGGTTAAAATATTGTTGTTGTTATTAATTCTAAAACTTTAGATATAGACGCAGCAATGGAATATTGAGATGTGCTAGTTAAAGCCTCTTTGTAAGAACATGCAGTGGCTTGCTAGTGTTCGCCTTTTAAGGCTACAACCGCAACTGTTCTGATTAGAGTCTGATCCTGATCACTCAAATGCACAGAAGATACTGGCATTAAAAGCAAAATCAACCGCTGCCCTCCTGGGCAAACAGAGGAACAGAGTTGCAGAATTGTTACTCTCACAACGGTAACAGACGCTTGAACCAGACTTAGTCCAGACTGGAGTGGGACCGGGGAAACAGGGACCTGCAAAGGGGCACCTCTCTGGGTTTTTGCTCAAGGCCTGCCCACGTGATTACAATACAAATACCAGTGTTGTAACTGTACTGGTCCAGTGCTACCATTCTGTTCCATACAATTTAAAGTAGTAGGTTGTACTGAGAAAGTATTGGAGCCTGAAGCAGCGTGCATGAGATGAGCTCTCCTGGTCAGAGTGTTGTGTGCGATGTGCCCTAGCCCATCTGTGTGGCACTGGAAACTTTGTGCTTGTGGAACTCCCACAGCTGGACTGTAAGGAAAAGTTCAGAGGTGTTTTCATCTCACCACTGGTGGACATCAGCCAACTTCCCAAAGTCCCAGCAATTCAGAGGGCCTGGGTTCTGAAACACTAGAAAACCCCTTTCTGATGATTCTGACACTGCAAAAAGCAGTTTTAGCTACAGAGTATCGTAATCAAGCCCAAGTATAGTACAGTACATCAGCTGAAGAGGACCACGACGCTGTCGAGGACTTTGCTGCAGGGTCCCAAGGGAACCTGGTGGAGTGTTTGTGTGGGGAGGGTTGAGTTTTTGCTTTCTAACGTGTCTTTATCTTCCGTTTCTTCCCTGTCAAGTGAAATCAAGGGTGAAGAACAACAGGGAGAGAAGAGGGAGAGGAGGGATGCCCGAACTCTCGCCGCAGTATCGGGGACTGAGGGATGGGAAATTTATCTATGCATTCATGAAGTAATATTAGATTGTTTTTTAAACTCATTGATTTTTAAACTCAGGGGAGCTGTAACTGAAATAGATGTACGTTTTTTATGCAAAGTTTGCTAAATTCAGATCTTTTGTTCCCTGTCTGTAAGCCCAATTTACAGCTTGAGCAGGTTGTTGGTTAAGTTGAAGGGTCAGTTGCTACACCAATTTAAAACTGGCTGTAGGTTTCTGCCATATAAGGGACACACACAGCTGTGCATTGTAAGTTACATGATGTAATTTGTACCGATTCCACATATACAGAATGTACATCAAAAACTCTTTTCCAGAAACCTTTTTCTTTTCGCCTGTATTTTGAAAGACCCGTTAACCATTACAGGACAGTAAACTCTGCTGAGCCTCAGTCCTGCTGCCCTGTCCCTCCTTCCTCACTGCAGACACAGCCAGGGCAGATAAAGGCGATTCTCTGTACGTGTGCAGGCCACAGCTGAGAATAACTGCTTCTGATTTAGAGAGAGCTGGGTCTCTTATTGGCTTGAGGAAAGCTGTGGATCCTGGGGAGCAGGTGTACAGAATGTCCTCCAGGCTGCGCTATAAACCACAGCGACTGCGATCTTTTCACATCGCCCTCATTATGGCTGCCAGGGCTTCTGGTCTTCGTAGCCGATGTTGAACACGTGTTCGAACTGCCTCTCGAAGAACCTCCCGAGCTCTTTCCCCATTCTCTTGTAGAAGTATTTCTAATGGGAAACAAGCCATCAGAACAAAAACAGAAGTACACACACGTCTGCCCCCTCCCCTTGGATCTCTGTTCCTGTTCATACTGTAGAGAGAGCAGCTGCTCTGATCTCTGTAGGATCGCCACTGTAGAGAGAGCAGCTGCTCTGATCTCTGGAGTGATCAATACTGTAGAGAGAGCAGCTGCTCTGACCTCTGTAGGATCGACACTGTAGAGAGAGCAGCTGCTCTGACCTCTGTAGGATCGACACTGTAGAGAGAGCAGCTGCTCTGATCTCTGGAGTGATCAATACTGTAGAGAGAGCAGCTGCTCTGATCTCTGTAGGATCGACACTGTAGAGAGAGCAGCTGCTCTGTTCTCTGGAGTGATCAATACTATAGAGAGAGCAGCTGCTCTGATCTCTGTTTATCTTCATAGTTGGGCCCTCATCTCTCTACCTTTTATACAGATCTCCATTAGTTCCACAGTGCCATGTTGTTTTGCTCAGGGAAGAAGAACTCTAGACCTTCCCAGGTTCTCACCTTGTTGTACTGGACACAGTTCTGGAAGATGAGCCGGACGTCCTGGACGAACTGGCCCACCTGCTGGTACTTCTGCTCCAGGAGCTTCTCCTTGACTTTATCCAGCCACATGGGGCGCTTGATGATCTCACAGTATCTCTTGAGCTTAAGAAAAACAAAGGGATGAAACTAAAGTCAAACCAAAAATGATAAATTACAGATTCAGATTCAACTTTCGCTTTCAGATCTATCGATCTGCTCCCATCACTGCTCCCTTCACTGCTCCCATCGCTGCTCCCATCGCTGCTGCAGCTGGTCTGCTGTTGCGGTGAATTGCATGCTCGTGACCTTTTTTGTCGTCCCGGTCTCCGTGGAGCTGTGTGTGTGGAGCTGTGTGTGGACCCGTGTGTGGAGCTGTGTGTGTGGACCCGTGTGTGTGGAGTTGTGTGTGGGTTCAGTCTGCTTTTCGGATCCGTGTCTCAGCAAAACTGAAAAGTGCAACACAGCTCCTGTCCGGCGGTCCCTTCACCGCTTGCAATGTGACGTGCGGCACTGGCTGAAGATACACAGTCTGTCCACAGGAGGGAGACAGCGCACAGCGTTAGGAATATACGGGATATACGGGTTTGGGCTTGCCACTGCCTGTAAATACGGTGCTGGGCTCTCGAGTGGAGACTGTGGGATTCACTTCAGGTCGGCTGATTTGAATCAAACCTTTGAGGATGAAATGCGATTCCGGGAGTGCATTGTCACAGCCCTTCTTACTAGGCCTACGTATAAGTACTAAAAAAACAAACAGCTCTGAATGTTTAATTATTCACTCCACCCATCTACTACTTAATTTTGCTGTATGACTCTAAATCCCTTTCCGATATTTGTTTCTCTTGTTGCTTCTGTGCCGCTCTGGTTCTGTTGGGCACCTTTCTAAGCGAAAAGTGCAACAATTTTCTTTTCAGCTCCGTCCTTGGGGGAGGAAAAAAAAGCACATGACCTCACCAGTGTGGACATGCGCGATACAACTTCCGGTGTTGTTGTAGCCTCTTCCGCCGGCGTTACAGTGCTGCGCAGTCCAGAGAGTAGGAGAGGGGTAAAACTTGTTTTCGGTATCTGTGTTCGAGTATAAAAATTGTAGTAAGTACCTGGAAGGAGGAAGAATAGTCTCCCCAGGTGAAATATCACACCGGTAACTCGGGACTCACGGTTCGTGCAGGCGGAGATGGCTGAGACCGATTTCTGTGAGTGTTTACTTTCCCGGTCCGAGTGAAATATTCAGGTCACGGTTTTGGTTTTAAAACGCCATGACTGCTTGGGGTCAGTTATTTCAACGGTCCAGCACTAATAAACTGTTTATTTTTCTTTCATCGCCTAGTTTGTTAAACGAAATCGGAGTCTTTTTTCTAATTTTGTAGCGCTGTTTTTACCTCTATTATACAGTGCGTGACAGGGTCTTAGCTGAGGTACTTTCGGTTTCGGATTGACCGAGCGAGTTAAAATGATTGACACGGCGAGAGGAAGTTCTGGGTTAATCTGACGGATGAATGTGTATCTTCTTTCTCAGCAAAGAAAAATGGTCAGCAGAGAAGAAACAGCTTGGCAGAGCCCCCAGACAGTGAGTATTTAATACTGTCAATATATAAATACTATTACCTTTTTAACTGTGAACCTCAGCTCTACTGTAGATGATTTATTTCAATTGGTGCTTCCAGCAAGGGTTGAAGATTACAGGCACATCTTGACTACTGTCGATGAGATGGGCTGTTTCTTCCAGCTGTATGTTAATGTATAGAAGATGCTTATAAGGTCTTGAAACAGACGGGGAAGTAGCTCCTGTTGTCGTTTCTGCTTGTTTCGAAGTGCTGCAGTTACTCCTGAATTCTGCTGATGGTTTTACCCACTTTGAGAATGACTGTGTTTCGGTCGCAGTGTCTGGCCTGCAGATAACGGATGAGCTGAGGATCGTGCTGATGGGCAGGACAGGAGCAGGGAAGAGCGCATCAGGAAACACCCTCCTGGGCAGAGAGGAGTTTGAGGTCAAACCTCTTGCTGCTTCTGTGACTAAGGAGTGTTGCAGGAGGAGAGGTGCTGTCAGGAATCGGCATGTTGCTGTAGTCGACACCCCTGGAGTGTTTGACACACATTTCTCCGATCGAGAAATCAGAAGCAAGCTTGTGGAGTGCATCGCGCTGTCGGCCCCAGGAGCCCACGCCTTCCTCCTGGTGATCCAGCTCGGCCATTTCTCTGAGGAGGAGAGAGCTGCAGTGGAGAAGATCCAGGACATCTTCGGAGAGAAGGCACTGGACTACACCATGGTCCTGTTCACCGGAGGGGACAGGCTGGGAGCAAAGCCGATCGGAGAGTTCATTGAGGGCGCGGGCGAGGGGCTGAAGGAGGTGGTGGAGAGGTGTGGAAACCGCTACCACGTCTTCGACAACGAGAGGATGGACGACCGCGCGCAGGTCACCGAGCTGATCCGCAAAATCGAGGACATGGTGCAGGCCAATGGAGGAGACTGCTACACTAACGAGATGTACCAGGAGGTGGAGGCCATGATCAGGAAGAGGGAAGAGGAGCTGAGGCAGGAATACAATCAGCAACTGCGCAAGATAGGGGCGGAGCTACAGGCCAAATATGACAAACAGATGAGTTCACATGAGCAGGTTCAAGAGAGAATGAGGGAAGAGCTGGAAGCCAAAAACAAGAAGATCAGAGAACTTTATGAGGAGAAAATAAAGAGCACCAGGGAAAAAGGAGAAATAAAGATTGAACTTAAACATTTGTGGAAAAAAAATTGGGAGGAGAAGTGCATTGTGCACTGAGTTTCTGAGGTCTTCCTCCAGCCCCTGGAAGCGAGAGAGGGACTCTGGCAGGAGGTGGTGTAAGACTTCAGCTGAGGGCAGTGTGGACCAGTCTTCACAGCACAGGTCTGAGCAGCATAATACTGGGTCTGTTCTGTCTCCAGTGCTGCTGTGGACATCTGAGATCTCTGTCAAAACACCCTGCATTTATAATCTTAATTCTTTGCTAAGTAATATGAGAGTGACTCTACATAGCAGCATCTTGTTGGACATTTTCATCCTTACTGAACAGTGCTTACTGTTTCCTGTAAGAGTGTGGGATTGCTTGTGCTTTAGCCATACATGTGCGAAATTAGTACTGATTTGCCCCAGTGTTCATGTCGTCGAAAATGTTCTTCAACGGCCTGTTTTTCTTTTCATTTAAATCAATGACTAAATGTTCAGGAAATGAATCCATAATGACAGTGATGACTAAATGGCTTTGAATTCTTGTCTGGGTAAATAAGTCGTGATGAAATAACCTGTTTCACTTAAACTCATATGGAAATGAATTTTGTCACGTGAGGTTCACCGTTGGTGCATTTCCTTTGTCTAGCCGTAACAGGTATAATCCTAGGGCCTCCGCCCTGCTCCTGTGTGAGAATCACAAAGATTGGGGTGTGCCACTCTTCTTTTATCAGTCCTTCATTTCCATCCAGTCTTTTCCACACCCCATGCTGTGAATCCTTATTGCAGTGTAATTCATCGACGCCCAGATAAATTGCATTGTTCATACGCTGAAATAGATTATAGAAAAAAACTAGGGCACTTTGATTAGAGAAAGAAAAGCAGCAGAGACACAAGGAATTCATGTAGTATTCCATGCTTTCAGGTGGAAGAAAAAGATCCGGAGTCTAGCAGTACCTAATAGACAACAAGGGCTTGTAAAACTTTACTGAAGATGAATAATAAGTGACTGATGATAAAATGGTTTTTAATCAAGAAAACATGAACGACTGTTAGAACCAGCCTCCTCGATATTCCCGGACAGGGTTTTAATCCCATCTAATATCTGATAACCATGGCAGGCGTGTGGGAATGTGACACAGTGTCGTTCCCCCTGTAGGACCCGCTGTCCCCTCTCATGTGCCTCCCCTGTGCATGTCCAAGCCCTGCACTCCCCTCTCATGTGACCCCCATGTGGGCGTGTCCAAGCCCTGCAGTCCCCTCTCATGTGACCCCC